CTTTCGATTTAGCGAGTTGAAAGCGTTTTAGGCATCTATCAGTAAAACAGCAGGGGCGTTCTCATATTCAATTTCACGTTTTTGTCCTAAACAGAGTTGGTAAATTGAACCGAGTGACATGCGTATTTTTGATGTTTTTTAATGCCAGCTTTCAATTTAGGAAGTTGAAAGCGTTTTGGCATCTATCAGTAAAATAGCAGGGGTGTTCGCATATTCAATGCCACGTTTTTGTCATAAACAGAGTTGGTAGTTTGAACTGAGCGACATGAGTTCATTTTTTAGCCATTTGGTTTTTGTTCGTCCTATTATCCTACGCATAACTTCTCCTACGGTTATGGGCTTTACTCCTGGGTTTTTATCTAAGGGTATTAATCTACATGCATTATATGGTTCCGTTAATCCTGCATTTAGTTCTTCGTAGCCATTTTTTTTGGCAATTTTAGCTATTGTTTTTGAAATCTCAGCTGATCGTTGTCCGAAGTTTGTTAAAATACATCTTCATTCATATGCATCAAGGCCAGATTGTCCATGAGATCCGTGCGATCTCATGGCTGCTTTCTTGATCCAGTTCTCCGTCTTGCCAATGCTTGAGTCGCCTTGCTATTGTTATAGATAAAAATTCATCTGGATTGGATTTTGTTTTGCACAGTAATAAGCGTGGAAACTTCAATGCTGCATCCATTGCGAATGTATGTTCGTTGTTTTCCATAAGGCTGTTCGGTGTTGTTTTGAGGGTCTCAATTAAGTTAAACAACTTTTTTTTGATAAGATCATCAAGACGGTTTCCAGTGGACCACTTCAGTTTTTTTTTTCCGTGTGGTTTCTATGAGTTCTGACCAGGTGTTTGACCATGGGTGTTGTGTTGTTACAAGTTCAAAAGTGGAGGGTTCTCTTGGGTTTTGTGAGTGTGGGACAGTCGAAGGCTGACGGTGGAGTTGAGGAGCAAGGTTTGTACGTAGAGTTGGGAGATTGCATTCATGTGCGTCGTTAGCTGAGTGAAATTGGGAGGTGCACCGATGGCAGCTGAAACCGTCATAGTGATCACTGGTGCGGGCTAGGCCGCTGCATTTTGCATGCATGTAGCCTGGGCATGAGAAGCATCAAAACACCTCCGCCTTGCAAGCTGTTTTTTACAAATAAGGTAATGTGTTTGAGTAGCCATTTGAGGATGGACGGCGTTGTCGAGTAAGCGAGACAAGTTATAGTTTAAGCTTAAAAGAAAAAAAAATTAGTAAAAAAATATTCAACGTAGAACAAGAAATGAATGCTATCTCGGCAGAACATTTGAGTGGTTAGATTTAGGTTGAAGTTAGATGAGACAATAAGTGTATGTGGGTGTACAAATCTGTTTATCAAATTGAACACCACTAGATTAAGAATATAGTTTCTACGATTTACTTAAGAGTTTTTACAAATATTAATTGTTTCGGGGATGATCAGTGTCTTGGGATGAAACTTGTTAGTGACGAGGTTAATCAAGTTTTTCCATTGCTGTTCTAATTCTTGTGAATGCAGCCTGTTATCATTGTGTCCGAAAACTATTATTACTCTATCTATGCGCTATAGTCTGTTTCGCGAAACTGTTTCAAAAAGATCTTGAAGCGTTGCGCCGCGGTAGGAGTGAACTGTTGATTTTATTAGAGCTGGTTTGATATATTTTTTCCTCGAAATCCCGATAACTAGTTTCTCTGCAAACTTATAGATGCTTCTTGCCTGCAATCGCAGCATGTACCTAAAACACAGACAACTGGGGCAAGAAAAGAATTTCTTTGAGACAAATTGAGTCTTGGGGTGATTTATGAATACTTTCATTTAGCATTTAAAATTGGTTTTAGACAAGGGCGCTAGAAAAAAAAGAGTAAGGAGTGGTGCAACCTGACGTCGTTTTAGAGGTCGCTTCACCAGCTCACTCCTTCTTGCGTCTAGTTACACCGGACAAACTTCACTAGCCTAGGGCTGGGATTGCAAGGTTTGGTAAGATAAGTCAGTGAGGAAAGCCCAGCGATGAAAATACACAAGAGGTAAACTTGAACAGACACTTTTTTTAATAAGTTGGTCACAACAATTAGGCTACATGTTAATTGAAAATGACCGCCCGAAAAGAGACTGAGAGCCGTCAATTCTATCTCCAACACAACTCCGAAAAACTTCCTTACTTCACCTTTAGTTATGTACTTTTATTCTTTTTTTTCATATCTTGTTTGACCGCGCAGAAATTAATAAAAACATATAACAAAGAAAAGTTTTTTGTACTATTTTGATTCTATGGCTGGAACAACGTGAAAAAAAACATGCGCTACTTGCAAAAGAACTCGCTATTCTTGTTTCTGGAAGGGTTGGAAATTTTCATTACAAATTACAATAGGTTGCCACTGGTTTATCTCATTTAAAAAGTATTAAGAAACAAATCTTTACACGCTTCTTTCTATCATGTGAAAAACATTAGTTGCTTTGTAGCAAACCATATCTATATGCAATTTCCATTTTAAATTGCAGAAAAGTTTGAGGCCCAAATCAGATAAGGTTTCCTTGGTTTTAGTCCCTTCATTTCCAAAAAACAGTTGTTTTTCGTTTTGCATATTTTGATTAGGGAGCATTCATCCAACTTGGAAGGCATGTTGTTTCTAATGGTCCAGTCGTACAACGCTTTTAAATCACTTTGAATATCTACTGAGATTAAACCCACGCTTAGAAACATGGAGTCAGCGGCAAAAATTAGGAAAATAATTGTGCGCACATTTTTGGAAGGTCATTAACAAGAACCAGAAATAGTACGGCCCCAAAATTTCCCTTGCAGGACACTACTAGTAATTTTTATTGGTGACAAAAAGATTCCATTTATTCGCACAAATTGTACACAATTTTTCAGGCATGCTTCGATTATTTCAAGGAGCTTGTTTTTGATGCCAGTTTTATAGAGTTTTTTCAAAAGCAGACCATGATCCACTCTTACAAAAGCCTTACTGTAGTGAGCAATGGTTATATCAACACCATTTTGCAGATGAAAGACACGTCAGGTTATTGTTGGAAAAATTGAAATCCCGTAAATTATTACATCAGCAAAAAGTTTTTAAAATTGTGTACACATTGAAACAAAATTTCAAAATCAGCATTTGTGTAATTGTAAGTACTGTTTGAGGGCGGTAAATAGCAGCAAAAAAGTAGTATTTTTTCTGTTTAAATTAATCAAGTATGAAGTTAGGGAACCAGTATCTTTAAAACCTAATTTAACATGCTCCTTGGTGATTTTAGTTTTTACGCAAAACATAGTGCCGTCGTGCGCTGTGGTTCCGGATTTTGCTTTTCTATTTGATAAAAAATATTGTTATTGAGGTAGGAAATTTTGCCTTCTGCAAAATCATCTGCGAGCTTTTTTTGTGATGTACATATATTATCAACAGAACTTACTAGCAGATAGCTCAAAAATATTCTCCTCAGATGGGAGTTATTAAACTTCTAATGTTATAACACAACATGCTTAATTCACCAGTTGAATTTCTTAATCACTCTTCAGTTACTACTGCTTGATTTGATAGTTTTTGCAAGGTTTTGTCAAGAAGGCATTTGATTTTTGACTTTTTGCAAAAAATGGAATTTTAGTTTCCAATCAGGAGACATGGGTAAAAACTTTGAGTTTTATTTCATTTTCAAATTTGTGTTTTTAAGTATTGCAGCATGGCCAAGTTTTTTTTAAGTGATATCCAAATGTTTGCTGGTTGACCGCTGAAAAAAATGGCCATGTAGTGTAAATGACTTCTATTTTTTGCGTTCATTATTTGAAATAAAACATCGGTTATCCAGTGTTTTTTTATTCATTGGATTGTTTTTTATTCCACTGACCAATTTTCTTGATATCGTTTTAATTTCCGGTTGGAATGATAAGGACCCCAGTTTTTATTTCAACTTATCAGAACCAGTGTCTGGCCCATTGGAGGATATATCTGATAGAATATCATGCCAATGCTTGGCCCATTTGAGGGATTCACTATCCAGAACGGGGCACATGCAACGAAAGATATGAAAAATCAGAAATGCCCAGAACCAACAATGCTTACTTCGGACCGACAAAATTTGCCGGGTTTTGTGGACTTGCTGTATTTTTTGAAAGCCTTAAGGAATTCTGGGACTCTTGTGTAATCTGTTTGGACTGGAGCGGGAGTAGGACTGTTACTTTTTAAAATCGAAAAAGCTATCAGTTAGATTGTTGGTCTTATTACAGAGGCATCTGACTACTAGAAAAACGTCTTCGACATTAAATTTAAAAAAATGAAAAAATAGTTTGAATTCATGGGTGATAGATCAATTCAAATGCTTTTTTATTATACAAATAAGGAAATAAGTTTGAGGACAAGAAAAAACCCGCTGCATTTTTGTTGATTTCGATAAAACCCTCGACCGTGTTCACGGGGAACTGTTACCATGGGCTCTCAAACACCATAGAGTTCGCAAAAATCTGGTTCAAATAATAATATATTTTACAGCGAGTCAAAAACCAGAGTTCGCCATCCCCAAAAATTGATGCAGCGGTAACTTCAAACCTAAAGAACCCGTGTATCAAGGATAGGCACTTAGGCTATTGTTTTTTATTATACTAATGGAAGAGTTTATCAAAAACTGTCGTTCAATGGTACCATTGGATATTCTTTATGCAGAGGACTTTTCGATATCCGCTGGAAAGGAATCCCATCCTTTTGAGAAGTTTGTTGCTTGAAACAATGTTTTTCAAAAATAAAATTTATATATCAACGTGGATAACTCAAAGTAATTGGTGTCAGTCCAAAAGTCTATTCCTCAAAAAAACCTGTTTAAGGGCGTCGGAGGCACTTCAAAACGATGCAGTTCTCGTAATTATTGGGTGCATAAAAATGCAGTAGCCTGATGAAGTTACCTAAGCATTATACTAAATAAGTATAATAGAAGACGCAATAATTCTTCCAACTATAATTGAAATCAGAAAGCCAATCTGAGGAATAATCAATTGGAAATGCTGAGTTTTGTCAAAAAAATACCTGCTATTTGAATGATATGTTTTCCGTTACAAGTGACGCAATACGTAAATGATTGGTCGGAATAGCAGATTTAGGGACAAAATGGAGGTAAATTGCGCCTCTGCTGCTGAAAAAAGATTTTAACTGGATCTTGTCTAAAAGCATGTCTATGGAGCTTGTCTAACGTCACATCTGGCGAACTGTTCTGAAACCTAGACGCAAACCAAGTCAATATCCAATTTTCTTAAGAGTGCTGACATTAAAGCTCTGGGTAGGATTACTAGAGTCACTTAGAAAGACAGAGTTTCCAACGAAGCAGTAATTGAAATGACAGGTCTCGTTAATCTGGACTGGCTACAAATGCTTTGGTGGCTAAGATGTTTTGGCCATGCTCACCAAGAAAAAAAAAACAACCAAGCGCTAAAATCACTAGAGCATTTTTTGGTTCCATTGAAAAAACCAGCATGAAGGTCTAAAACGCTATATTGATTGTGTTAAACGAGACCTGAATAAATGACGACTCAAATTCATATGTTCAGGACTCATATGTTTCAATGAAATGGCATGTAAAAGCGTGTTATCCTCCTTTTAGTAGCCTAGATTTTGTTCATCTGAACCACTCCCTACACGCATTCCGGATTCAAGCCCCACCACAATAAGAAAACGGACAAAAAACAATTTAGTAGTTTTTTTCTGTGATGATAAACTGATTTGAAATTATTGATTTTTTTAATGTTTTCGCATGTGTTCAGCTGAATATGATACGTTTAGCTCTAAACTGTAAGGAACGCCTTTAAAATCATTTAAAAAAAAGTATTTCAATTGTTTTTTTGCTCTCTTCTAAAAAATATGTGTTTAGATTTTTGCAAAACTTCTAATTTGCATGACTTTTTAAATTGCTTTGAGAATGGGTAAACAAATGAGCACTGAGAATGGGTAAACAACTGGCTTTTGGGTTGGTCTTTTCTGTGCAGGTGCAACAACTGCTTTTTAAGACATCTGATGAAAAAAATGATCGTAGAGGTTTCCTTGAAAATGAGAAAAAGATGCGTATACATTTCATTGAAACCATTTTTCTTTTCATTTGCCGGAAGGTCAGACGGGCCTGGCGGTTTTTTCGAAATGAGTTTAAAATCAGTAAATGGCTGGCTAAAACTCTGAGGAAAAATTCAGTTTTGCTTCTAAGATTTATATTATTTTCCAAAAAGAGGGCTGAGATTTTGTTTTTGTATCAGAAAAGCAGCCTCTGTTTGCAAAACTATAGGTCAAAGCTTTCTCTCGAAGAAACTTAAATAGCTGATTTTTTTTCGGGTTTTTTATTATCATTGTTGATACTTTCTTTCTTATGCTCAATTTTCTTGCAACATGAAACTGTGATATGAATGTTTATTTGTGAAATCACTCGAGTCTCATACATTATTGAAAAAATTCGATTTATGTGAAGCATTTTTTAACAATGTCGACCAAAGTTTTGTTGAAAATCTTATAATTTGATTTAAATTCTTTTTGCCTAAAAAAGTTCACAGATGACCTAAGACAGGTTTTTTTTTCTTTTTTTTTAATCAGTAAATTATCTATTTGGTTCAATTTTTCGTTTAGGTCCACGTTCTACATTACAAGCAGAGTCTGCACATAGCTAGCTAATTTCTCTTCATTGTAGAACATCCGTGATTATTTCTCTAGGTTAAGAAATCATAGCCTGAGCCGAGACTCCCCCATTTGGTCATTGTGCCTCGGAAGCACACACTGGAAGCATGAAGCACGGCAAAAGACAGCCGGCACTTCACCCAGTTCATAGTTTTACTATAGGGTTTCTCCCACTTGGTAGATAATGCTTCTCCTATTCTCCGAAGGAAACTTGCAAATTCTGGAGCAAGCATCCCATCAACAGACACGACAAGAGGAGTGAAAGACATATGTCTTTCCTGACACGCGTCTGAAAATTTTGTCTTTTTCTTAACCTCTGCTGAGTGCAAAACACTCATGGCCATTCTGTTCTGATAGGAGACGGCGCAGGTGTCAGAGACACGAATATCAAAAGACGCTCCCCCCTGTCTAACATAAACTCCACGACAAAACAAATCTGCAATTATTGCGGGTGTCTCATCTTGCGGGTTGTATTCTCTAGTAACAGGCTCACTCTTTACATCCTTCCACACTAAAGAAGCTAAGTCGCCTAGAGCATCCCTAATCTCATTGTGCCGTAAAGTTAAGAGACCACCTTTTTTGCACGCTAACGCATGCCGTAGGGTGAAAGGTGACTGGCAACCATCACAAAAAATTGGCGAAGTTTTTGTTTTACCGGACACCCATTGCATCCCGAAACTCCACTTCCGAAAGATCAAAGTTTTCTGCAGCAGTCGTTAACGCTGTCAGCCGGTCAGACAAGCTTCCTCCATTGATTCTTTTTACTGCGCGAAGTTGGTCTGCTGCTAGCTCATTCAATAACTCCCCCAACAACTCTTCATGTTTTTCTTCCAATATTTGATGATGTTTTTTCCGCGATCGAGACATTTAATTTCAGTGGTCTTCATGGGAAAAACCGTGCTGATCAACAATATTATCATAAAGAACCGTAACTGCTTCCCGTGACGTGTTGTAAAACTCATCACCAAATCTGGTTAGGTTAGACACTCCAAGACCACCCTTTCTTGCTGGCAAACAAAAAAGACGTCTCTCCCTTGATGAAATCGACAAATTTCCAAGTATCACAGGTAAGCATTTCTCCATCAAAAGATTCTCTAGCGGTTGAAAAAGCTGACTAGAACCACCCAAAACACGATGGGAAAAATTCCATTCCGCTTGTAGGGACTTCGTCAGTCCTGATAAAGCACATTGTGGTTCTGTTTTTGCCACAAAAGAAAGTTTCTCAAATTTGTCTACCCATTCAAGTACTTTCTTTTTGAGGTAGATGTCCTTCTCATTTCCGTCTCCAATGAAACCGCCCAAAAACCTCTTCCCTTCCACTATAGTAATCAAGTACTTGTCAAATATGTGATCCGCTTCTTCAGCATATTGTTTATCGACAACCAGAAAACTTTTGGAAGGCTCTCGAAAGTAACCGAAGACGGGACCTTCCTCAATCAAGTTTTTGAGCCATATCTCCAATTTCTTGAGTTTTGCTATGGCCGCAGAGTCATCAGCATACCAACTTTGTAAAACATGTTTCGGATCTTTTAACTTCCGAATCAGGTAAAGAAGTGAAACACCATAGAAGAAAATTGCCAGTGGGTCTCCCTGTGTGGTTCCTTCCCTACTGTATATCACTTCATCGGCGCCACCAACGAAAAGCGACGCGAAACCACTGTTAGTATTGAAGAGAAATCTAGAACATCTAGGCCACAATATTCGAGCATTCCCCAATGCTGTTTCATGATTGCATTCATCAACAGCATGCCACAGCCATCTTCCTTGTTGTCATCAAAAACATCAGAGAGCCATGAGTTGCACCTTCAACGCCAGCTTTCAGCCCGCAAGCTAATTGATCGGTCGAACATGTTTCTTCAAGGTCAATTTTTGTGAACTCAGCCACACTTTTGCAAATTATTCTACGTAGACATTCGCCTATGCCAATTGGTCGCACGCCAGGACTTTTATCAAGCGCAATCAATCTTCCAAAAACCAGTGCTCGCACTTTCGACCATGGTAAGATTTGACTGCACATTTTTGTGGCGAGAGTTGCAACTTCGTCTCTCAAGTGTAAAATGTGAGCCCCATGACGTAAAAAAAGCGTCTGCCAATGCTCAGAATCTGTTCCCGAAGCTCCCGAACTGCCCTGCAAAGAACGTGTCGTCTTTTCACTGGAAGCAGAACTGATTATAACATCTTCAAAGTCGGGTAAAACTGGCACTTGCAATCGCAAAGAGAGATGTGACTTGTGTGCCTCTGAATGCTTTGACTTCAAAGTCTCTAAAACAGTCACATCTTTCTTCACCTCTTGCATCGGATCAAGCACACCCCCGCTTGCTCTCTCCGAGAGCCACCGCATAGCACTTCTCACTTTGCCTTTCATAATTAATGAAACAAACTTTTTCGAGACATGTATGTCGTCCAAATTATCTTGATTTATTTGTTTCTTTTTGCCACATCTCACTGCTTCCGCCAACAACTTGTCGAATTTGTTTTCCTTCCAGTCTTCAATGCGCTGTCCAATAAGTGTTCGAATGTCTATTGATGCTTTGATCATTGGATCTCTTTGTAACAAAAGACGACTCATCACCAGAATTCTTTCTGAATTGGAATCAGCAGTGGTAGAAAGAAGCTTCAGTTCATGTGTCAGGAGGTCTACGTACTTCCTACCAATGTACTAATGTTACCATTAGGCAAGGTATACAGTCTTTTTGGCAGTCGTACGCTTTTCACCCATCTTTCAGTCCAAATCGAATGGTCAAGACAAGTTGATTTGTCGAGTGACGCACCGAATGCTTCCATGATTATGTCTTCGTCATGGCTTTCAAGATTTGGATTAGTTTCTGGTAGCACGTCTTCTATTTGCAGGTCTTGCATGGCGGTGTAACATCAACGCGGTCATTGTTATCTCGTGATAATAATAAGTCTTCCACTTCAAACCCGCTGGTTTTGGAAACACTGAGCTGCGAATCAGAATTATACCCCAGATAACTGGGCGGTTTGATAATTCTCTGAGTCCGCCTCATGATATCACGAGTGTTTCTCGAACCAAACTCGAACTCTTCCCGAGCACGGGCCACTCTGCTCCAGAGAAACGAGCTCCTCTCCAAACACGGGTTCCAAGCACCGGCTCTGTACCAAACACTTACGAGCTCCAAGCACCGGCTGTGCATGCAACACGAGCACCAATCCACAAATAAGCTGTACTCCGAACACGTGCTCTGCTCCAAACTCAAGAGCTCAGCTCCAAACACGAGATCTGATCCAAATACGAGCACTGCTTGAGATAAAAACAGTTGCAGTGGTTGTTGTTTTTTTCTTGCTTAACAAGACACGGCATAACTTTCCATATGGCAAAAAGTTATGACAGGTTTGCTTTAGTTTTTTTTTTTGAAAAAAAAATTTTGTAGCACTTTTTGCATATAACTGGCATAGTTTTCGCAGGAAATTGTGTATCATTTTTTGAAGTGAGGCTTTTGGCTTGCTTAATTGAAAACTTGATTACCGAGGATTTACTTGACTGATTTATTTGGCTTAAGCATCGGTTGGTTTTGTGTGGTAAGTTTTATGGTCTTTATAACTAATATTTAGGGGACGAGAATAATGTCAAGAGGAGTTTTCGCATCTGCTTTCAGATGATTCACATTTCAAGCTCTTTCTAAATTAAAGCGTAATAAAATGATTGCGCATAGTCAAACGATTCAGCTGATTCATAGTAAAACTCTTTTTTTTGCAGATGCTAACATAATTTTCTAGGTTTTTCGATTGTTTCAGTCAGACGTGTTTTTTTTTCTGACCAAAAGCTATTGTGTATGTTTTTGCATACTGCTTAGATCTTTTTGTAGTTATGGGTAATTAATTTAGGAACACAACCTCACGTCCTCTATCAGATTTATCATTTTGGAAGTAACATATAATATACTATGAAGAAATCAAACCTGTTAGCAAAAATTCTTAGATCTGAATGTTCCCTCGCCAAACTTCTATATTTTAAAAGCAGGAATTGGATTCTGTTTTTGTATTTGGCACTATCATTTGGCGAATGAGAGGCAGTATAGTGCGATAGCGGAGTTTTAGCTTTGAATTGAACTTGCACTTGAGATGCGCTAACTGATTTTCAAAAAAATTCGAATGGAAAATGTTACTCTAAAACGTACTCGAAATAGCACAGGCTTGGTAACTTGCTTTTTCAAGTTGAAAGCAGGATTTGAAGTTTTTGTATGAACATAATTGTATTTTTTTGTTTCAATTGTGCATTTCTTTTATTCTAGAGAGAATCCCTTTTGTACTTGTTCATTTTTTTCTTTCTTTTTTGAGTTTGAAAAAAAAACAATTTTTCTGATATTCTGTAATTAAATTTTTGGCTTTAACAGATTTTAAATTTTGTTGATGTTATTTTCTGAAAAAAGAAAGGTTTCTTTATTCAGCTGGCTCTTGGAAACTTTCCATCTAGTTTTAGTCTTAAAAAAATTTGAAAAATTACTGTTTTAAAGCGAAGACCTCTTTTTCCTTACTAGCAACAATTTCTGTTTCAGCATCAACCCATAGTAATCGGGATTGCAAATCAAACAGAGCGCAAATTACTAGAGCGCAAATTAAAGTTAAATTAAGATCAAATTCAGCTTAAAAAAACCTAACAAACATCTTTGACAAAAAAATTTATTTGCCAGTTGAAAATATGTTCAAATGTACTAGTGCATGCCATACTGTTACCTTCAATGAATTTCAGACAATCAGTCATATAGAATATGAATTGATAGCAACTAATCGATAGAATCATGATCTTAAGGAATTTTTCCAAAAAAGTGTGGAATTTTTTTTTGAAAATTGAAATGTTTGAATACAAATTGTTACTAATCTTAAGGAATTTTTACAAAAAAGTGTGGAATTTTTTTTTGAAAATTGAAATGTTTGAATACAAATTGTTACTAATAAATGAGCTCGAAATGATTCAGGCAGAATTTGTAATTTGGAAATTCTTGAACTTATTTTTGTTCCAATACAATTGTGAATTTTGAATTTTACTTGTAGATTTTATTTAGTACTTTTTGATTTTCAGTTTTTTGATTCTAGAACGAATTCAATTTTTAAAAATGTTTTAAATTGAATAATTCGGCTCTTGCAAAATGTCTTGAAGTTAAAATTAAGAATGAACTTAGACTATCCCCTTCAATTTTTGTCCTTTTTTTGGCTGATTGGTATCTGTCTGTTTCGAAGCTCCATTCCTTGATACTTTCTAGTTAGGCCATTTTCATTGGTAGTTGAGGTTTTTTCTTGAACAGTTTTTCTTATCAACTTGGCAACATGAATAACTTTTGGCAATTTGTAACAATTTTTTGAAAATGGTTTTTTCATCCAAAACATAAATTGGAACGATACTTAAGATGTAACATACAAAAAATTTTACTTAAATAAACTATATAGAATATATTTCATCCAGATCAGAGTGGACATAATCCAGAATAAAGCAAATCTGATACAGATCAGCGCAGATTTGAATCAAATCTGAACCATGCAACCAGTTCTGAATTTTTCACAAAATCTGTATCTTTCTCAGAACCGAACCAAATTTGTCCAATTTCAAGCAAAAGTTGGACTATATTTGTAAAAAATCTAAAACAGGCAAATTTTAGTAGCTCAGATCTGATTTCCAGTTTTTGATAACGTACGTGCAATTGCTGGCAATATTTTAGGCATTTGTTTTTGAAAACTAAAAAAATTGAACAGATTGCATTTGGGTTTGTTTTGAAATTGCTTCTCTTTAGATTTCATTCCCAAGCAGTTTTCCTATTTTGGCTGTAGAAGATAGCGCATTTATGCTGCTTCGAAAATTTATCCATCAAAATTGAAAATGACTGAAATAATGCCCGGAAACAAACATTAATTTTTTTGTGCAGACAAAGCACATTCGATTTTGAGTTCTTTTTGACCATTTGCTACAAGTTCACATAAGCAGAAATGATATCTTTTAAAATATTGTTAGTGATCTTACAATTTCAATCTCACCAAAGTTTACCATTTTTTGGTCAATGGTGTTTGTTAGGTTTGCTTGTGTTGAATTTAATCGTAATGTAAGCGGAATCCGCAACAGGTCAAAAATAGATTTGTCGCGGAATCCAATACATTGCTAATTTTTTTTAAAAATCTTCTTTGCTATTTTGGATTCCACGACCAATCGCTCCGAAAATAAAAGTTTTTCAGAAAACCGTAGCAAAGCTTGCAAACTCCGCAACAGTTTGGGGAATCTCTAAGCTATACAGTAAAAGTACGCTGTCGCGGAATCCGCAAATTGTAAGCGGAATCCTCGAAATGCAGACGGAAAGCGCAAAATGTGAGCGGGCTCCGTTTAAATTTTCGGTATCTGCTTACATCCGTGGAATCCGTTTATAACTTCCGGAATCCGGAACAACTCTTTACTGGATTCAAGAGAAACTTAAAGTGCCGACATAATTTACAATACACGCACTTGAGCGCAGAGTCCACGAAAAACTTGTTAGTGGGATTCACTTACATTTTGGATAAAGCCTAAGTGTTTGCATCTGGAATCCAGGGACACCAAAGTGCACGTTTTATCGTCACTATAAACAGGTGAAATACGAGAAAGCGCTACTGAGACCACTTAGTCTTCTACTATAGCTTTAATTTACTTGGCTATTTTGACTATCTATTTTGAGAATCGAACGAATCTTTATATCTTGGGCAAAGTAATATACACTATATCAATCGGTTTGGTAAAAGAAAATTATGCATCATTCAATCAAAATTTTTTTTACAGTTTATCATTATGATTATTTTGATTATTATTATTGTTATTAAGATTAGTATACTATTACAGCTTTGAAGTCAGAAGGTATTTTTCGGACGCTTTCCACCCCTCAGGGATTCGACCCCCTGCCGACCCCAAGGATCCAACCTTTTTACTATTTCGAGACATCCATTTTAGGGTGACGGACCCTAAAATTTTTCTAAAAGCGCTTTCGGCGCCAAAATATATTAATTTTGAGGGTGGAGCGCGCGCCGAAAAAACGCAATTGTTTGGTCAAAGTTTTCCAAAAAGTGCCTAAAAACGCATTTTTTCAACCTGTTTTTTTTTTTTAAAATTTGCCTACGACGCAGAAAGTTTGGTCAAAATGGGGCATGTATAGTGATTTGGGAGAGCTCAGAAAATCAATTTGGTCGACCTAAAAAAAGGTCGACAAAAATTTCTAAAACTTTTTGAAAATCCGCCGCCCCCCGCCCCCCCCTTGAAAAAATCCGCCGCAACCCCCCCCCCCTTGAGAAAATCCGCCGCAACCCCCCCCCCCCCCCCCCCCCACTGCCCCCTGATTTTGAAAATCCGCCGCTCTCCCGCCCCTGATCAAGACTTTCTTTGAGCTAATTATGAGATCTAACATTTAAAAATTGTTCGACAATTTAAATGCGTGCTTCATTTTTTAAATGCGTGCTCCAACAGTGATCACAAACCCGAAACTTGGCTGTTTTTTTTTCAACAAGTAAAAATAATTATTTAATAAATGTGGATAAAATGGAATTTAGAAGTATTTGCTCAGAAAAAATGCCATGGAAAAAGGATACCTCGATAATACTAGACGTTCCAAATTTCTGAACTCAGATTTTCATTCATTGCTTCGCTTGAAAACTTAAGATTTTAAAAATTTTATCACCATGTTTGTTACAATTTACTTTTTATTGCCATAAATTTCAGAAAATTATGAAAAGACCAGCAAAAAAGCGCATTTTTTCAGCCTTCAAGTCTTTTTCATCAACAGAAACAGGCAACTCATTTTATGAAGCATCCCTTGAGGTTTTTGCAGTAATCTGTTTATTCGAACAACTGATGGGTCCGTTTGGAGGTATGTTTGGATTATTTGTCCAGGATTTCCACACGTAGTTGAAGTTCTTGGGGTCGGAGTCTTGGTCTACAGGAGGATAAATGGGTTCTACAGACAGAGATCTCCAGTACTTCAATCGGTCCAAAGTCATCTTTAGCTCATTTGCATAATCCGGATTATCTATCAGATTTTCAAACTCGCATGGATCTTTCTCAAGGTCATAAAAACACTCATCGCTGCCTGAAATCTTAGAGTGGCAACTAAAGTCGACACCTGAAGGAACTTCACTACATGTAACTTGGGATGGAGTTGTGTTTGGAACAATAGTCTCATTCGAGTCTGGTAACGGTCCGGGAGCCGCAAACCACGATGCCAAAGATCCACCTCCTGGATTCAGGAGATACTTGAACCTCCCCACCTTGATTCCTGTTGAATTGTCATAGGGGTCGATATTAACCAGAACTTCAGATCTGGGAGCTGTCGAGTTCCTCCGGTAAAGAGATCCAGCATGCTATAGGACTCCGGGATGTTCATGTTTCTCAAATCGCCTCCAGCCGCTTCATATAATGTCGGTAACCAGTCTGCAATGTGCATCAACTCAGTTGAAACTTCACCCGCTCTTTTCTCAAACATCTTTCCGTATACAAAAGCGGGGCGACCTTATTCCACCCTCGAAATTGCCCCCCTTAGCACCTCTAAGAGGGAAGTTATTGCCAGCTCCATTGGGCGTCCCCCCGTTGTCGGAACTGAAGATGATGATTGTGTTGTCCATTTGACCTTTGGCTTGCAGGGAGTTCACGACTTTTTCAACAGCGTTGTCCATTTCTTTGACAATGCCAACGTATTTGCGACGTTTGATATCCCACACGTTCTAAACCATCAAGTGATATTTAATAATCGCCTGAGAGACAACGGTGATCGCAGTTCATTTTTGAGCTAGCAAAATGACTCTGGTTTGTACCCATACCTGCTTCTTACAGTCTTGTGTAAAATTTTCACTGTCTTATGAACATAAAAACTATAATTATAAGACTACTTCAGCACTCTTATCAAATAACAACACTTTTCTGGCATTTAAAAAAATGTTTGCCGAAAAACTTGATTGTTCAATCAAGAACCAAATTCTCGCTTGCTGCTACAGAAATTTGATTTATAATCAAGTAGCCAGTTCTTTTATAGGTTTTCAGACCAATAAAAAATTGATAGCATTTAACATTTGGGAAACAAAACAAAAAAAAACGCTTTACGCCATATCCCAGATCCCCCAGACTACAAAAGAGGTAACTGGTTGAATGAACTCACTTTTATTTCATACTCGGTTTCCGGTGGGACCTGCAATGGATCATCGTCGTTACCCACGTGAGTTGCTTGCAATGCCAAGTAGAGAAAGAGCGGAGATGCTTCGAAGTTGTGATCCTGGATTAGGCCCACTGATCTGTCGGCCATAAGACGGGTGCTGTACTGACCGTACTCGCTGTCGAGGATAGTGTCTGTTACTCCGTCGTCAATTCTCCAGTCCAGACCATCCCAATCCACTGGAATATTTAAACCCTCATAACTCAAAAAGATCTCGTTTAAGATAAAAAAGTAATGCCAAAAAATTAACTTTCATAAAAAAAATTATCAGTTTTTTTTGCTAAAAATCCAGCATCTGCATGACTTGTTTCTTCAAATTGTGACAAGGAATAAAAAAAGAAAAAGTGTACAACAATTGCTAAAAAGCAAAAAATTACTAATAACACCCAGGGGCGGATCTAGGATTTTCTCGAGGGGGGGGGGGTGGATTTTCAAAAAGAAATCGAAAATTTTGACCTTTTTTTTGGGTCGACCAAATTGATTTTTTGAGCTCTCCCAAAGCACTGTTTTTAGGCACTTTTTGGAAAATTTTGACCAAAAAATTGCGTTTTTTCGGCGCGCGCTCTCCCCTCAAAATTAGTAAATATTGGCGCCGAAGGCGCCTTTAGAAAAATTTTAGGGTCGGTCGGCCAAAAGTGAATTTCTTAAAAAGTACCAAAGGGGGGACCCTTTGGGTCGGCAGGGTGTCGAATCCCTGAGAGGGAGGCGTCCGCCCCCCCCCCCTCCCCCTAAAACCGCCCCTGATAACACCTCTAAAGAGCGAATTGTGCTTACCTCCGTTTCTTTGTTCGTGATCTCGATGTACGTAGTAGTCGTTTTTGCCATTATAGAACCCGTAAAAGGTCTTGAAGCCTCGCAGTGCAGGTGTATAACTGAAAGGAAATGTGTTATATCTCCGAAGTGAATTAATTGTATATGATCAATTTTGAATTGTGATAATTTTGAAACTTATAATTTTGAAATTTGAACTTAGAAAAATGAAAGAAAAAAAAACCGAAAATTTTTTTCATTTATTGGGGAAAATGTATGGAATTAAAATTTGGCCGAACATTTTTTATCCAGATAACACTATTCTTCGGCTTTTTATGTGTCAAAGTCTTCGCACGAGGTTTAAGTTTGGGAGAGGATCTCAGAACAATAATAAAAGGCTTGTAAATTACTCTTTTTATGTTTAACTCGCCGTCTAAGAAACCAAAGCGAAATAAACATTTAACAAGCAGGTTTTTTAAGTGTTTGTTAATGGTGGTCATCTGTGGTCATCTGATAATAGTCATTTGATATCAGACCAGAGAAAAAAAACTACTAACTTTCTATGGAAGAAACCCAAGTGCCATTTTCCGACCATGTGACTCTCGTAGCCCAGGTCATTCAGGTACTCCGGCATCAATCTAAACTGCAGCGGGATCCCACTTCTCTGTCCTGGTCCAATCACTCGGTACTGCAACCCTGTAGTGACTGGATGGCGTCCAGTGAGCAGTGCCGCCCTACTTGGTGTGCAGAGAGACATTACGTAATAATTGTTCAGAATTATTCCTTCGTTGGCGAGGGAGTCAATGAAAGGGGAGTCGATCTGGGAACTGCCGTGGAACCCAACATCGTTCCATCCCAGATCATCAGCCAGTAGAAACAGAATATTTGGTCGTTCATGAGCCGATGGAAGCAAAAACAAGTTCAAAGACAAAAATAATTTAAACATGCAGATAAAATTGACAATCATTTCTTTTGTGATGGTTCATATAACATAGGCAATGCTTCTAATGAATGATTGATACTTGCTGTTTGTCCAATTGATCTTATTCATGCAGTGTTAGTAGATCAAATATTTCAAACGTATATGGTTGATGCCAATTGTTGGCCAGCTTTTGCTGTTTACAATGGATTAGGCCTGGTTTCATTATTTGCCTTGATCTTAATATCTTTTAACTCGAAAACGCAATCAACTGCTTATATAATGACAAAAATGTCTAAATCCAATTCCCCATAATCACAAAACTGTCCAACCATACGTCGAAAATGTTATATAGCTGGTAAGACAGGCATATGTGGCGCGGCGTATGGGGCCGATTTAGGGGGACGCCTCTCTGCTCAAGAATTCGTCCCCCTGCCGAGCCGTAGGGTCCAACCTTTGGTACTTTCTTAAGACATCCATTTACGGCAGACCGACTTCAAATTTTTTCTAAAGGCGATACTATTTTTACTCAACATTTTGATCAACATTGTTCGATGGCCGAAAAACGGTATTTCGGCCTGTTTTTTCTGAAAATTTCCTGCGACAGAGCAGATTTGGCCGAAATAGGGTCTTTATAGTGATTTGGGAGAGCTCAGAAAATCCATCTAGTCGACCTATAAAAGGGTCGACAAAATTTCGAATTTTTTGAAAAGTATTGTTTCTTCAAATTGTGACAAGGAATAAAAAAAGAAAAAGTGTATAATAATTGCTAAAATGCAAAAAATTAAAAATAACACCTCTAAAGAGCGAATTGTGCTTACCTCCGTTTCTTTGTTCGTGATCTAGATGTACGTAGTAGTCGTTTTTGCCATTATAGAACCCGTAAAAGGTCTTGAAGCCTCGCTAGCATCATGAAAATCCTAGATTCGCGGACGTATAGCTACACATTTTGGTAAGCCCTAGATGTAGTCTTAAAAGTTTTGTCGCTAAATTTGAAATTGTTAGATATTTATAAGCCTGTACAAGTATTGTGAATAAAAAAGCAAAAAAGGCAAACAAAAATCATTGAGTGTTGCTCCATTATTTACTCATAACAAGACTGCTCGTATATCAGAGTAAAGCTCCGATTGGTCTTGAATTACTTTTGGAATATGAAATATTGTTAAACTACACATTTTAGGCTGATCAAAGTATTAAAATTTAGGTCATTTATGGAATTATTAAATCAAAATAGATTGCGTTATCTCAATTTGGAGCGGCTATGAGTGCGAATAATTTGCCACACTTAATAATTTATAAATATTTGATACAAACTATCGAAGTATTATTCCAGCCAGCTAAGCCGCACTTTAGTCTTGTGCAAGCATACTCGCTTGGCAATCCCATGATTTCTGCATCGATGCCCATATGCAGTCAACTTTTCTAAAATCGGTCTGAAAAAAAAACTACTCCGGGCATATGTATTCCTCACTGTAAATTGATTTGGTTTGAAAAAAATGTAGTATAAAAAATCAATTTCAATCAATTATTAAATCGATTTAAATCCATGTTTTGTAAAATTATTTTGGTTTCAATTTCATTCAAAATTTGTAACAACAAAATCAATTAAGATAGTTTTAATTCGATTGTTGTCTTCATTTCCTAGTGCAATGAAATTGATTTTTTTTCTATCGTAAAAGTCCATTTGCTCCAATCAATTGAGGTATCTTAATGGGTAATCGTAAGTCAATGTCCTACAATTGTATCTGTATAAAAATTGATTCAAGTCGATTTCATTATCAAGTTTGTCAGAATGGGCAGAATTCTTTACAGATTTTAGATCACTTAGAATAAGGCTAAGACGTTCATATCAAGAATGATGCCCACCAAAATCAATTTAAGTAAATTGAAAGTTTTCCTAGAGCAAAGTTTTTAAATTTTTAATTCAATCCAAAAAACTTTATGGTGAGATGAATCAGTTGCAAGCTCAAAAATAAATTTTAATACCCCTAGAGTCATTGCACCCTAAAAATTTTTTCCATTGAAGATTGCGTGAATTTGTATTCTCTTAATGCATTACCTTCATACTTAGGACCAAGCGGCCACAAAATTTTTTTTTTGTATTTTTTCAAAATTTTCTCGTGAGCAATCACAAGTTTTTCTTTTTGCCTGTTTTTCAAAATTGACCCTTCAATTTTTCAAAACCCGGTTTGATAAAAATATAAAGAGTTAAATTAAGAGCAAACCCATGCGGAATAAACAAATTTGTTGCCTAACAATTCCGAAAACGTGGTCAAAACTGGTCATATGTATTTCATGAATAATTCATACACGTTGAAATACGTAACAATTACTCCTATTGAATAGTTAAGGGACCAACAAAGGGTCTTTTGTGAGCTAGAATAACACTTTTGGCCTTAAAAATTACTGCAAGAGCTTTTGAATTCAAACTTTTGCTCTAGTTTTTGGTTTTTGTATGATATTCTTAAATTTTTTAAATCTGATTTTTTCAGGTCTTGTAGTTATGTTTGTTATTGACTGACGCAACAGGGCTCTGGTTGCTTTTACTGACTATTCGGACCACTTTCAGTCAAACGACAAACATATTGATTGACCTATCATCCAGCGTTTACAACAATCAAACTTTAAGTTTGCGGCGGAACGAAAAATGCGAGTACAGTAGAAAACCAAAAAGAACAAGACTGCTCGTATCAGGGCGAAGCCCTGAATGTTCCGACTCCCTTTTAAGGTCTATGGAGCAGTAGTAAGAACATGAAAAAATAACAAGAAATGTTTTTTTTTTAAACTTGAGGTTTTTAGTAAAAACCATCCCCTCACACGCCATATAAAATACAAAGCGATAAAATTCGCTAGTAACAAACCAATTATAGCAAATAAGCCTCCTTCAACCAATTTGGAACAATTTCTAAGACGGAATAAATCTCGCTTACGCGTTAATTGCGCGAAAAATATCGCGCCTTAATTGTCCCAAATTGACCAAAATGGCAACATTTAAACTACTATAACTTCATGAATAATGATCGCAGGTGGAAAATTTTTCTTCCGACTTTCGATACGAAAGTAGCGGAAAATTTGTGCTCGGGGTGGGTTTTTTTAAAAAAGATAAAATTCGTCTTTTTAACTAGCCATTTTTGTTATTCCAGCCAGCTAAGCCGCACTTTAGTCTTGTGCAAGCATACTCGCTTGGCAATCCCATGATTTCTGCATCGATGCCCATATGCAGTCAACTTTTCTAAAATCGGTCTGAAAAAAAAACTACTCCGGGCATATGTATTCCTCACTGTAAATTGATTTGGTTTGAAAAAAATGTAGTATAAAAAATCAATTTCAATCAATTATTAAATCAATTTAAATCCATGTTTCGTAAAATTTGTTTGGTTTCAATTTCATTCAAAATTTGTAACAACAAAATCAATTAAGATAGTTTTAATTCGATTGTTGTCTTCATTTCCTAGTGCAATGAAATTGATTTTTTTTTCTATCGTAAAAGTCCATTTGCTCCAATCAATTGAGGTATCTTAATGGGTAATCGTAAGTCAATATCCTACAATTGTATCTGTATAAAAATTGATTCAAGTCGATTTCATTATCAAGTTTGTCAGAACGGGCAGAATTTTTTACAGATTTTAGATCACTTAGAATAAGGCTAAGACGTTCATATCAAGAATGATGCCCACCAAAATCAATTTAAGTAAATTGAAAGTTTTCCTAGAGCAGAGTTTTTAAATTTTTAATTCAATCCAAAAAACTTTATGGTGAGATGAATCAGTTGCAAGCTCAAAAATAAATTTTAATACCCCTAGAGTCATTGCACCCTAAAAATTTTTTCCATTGAAGATTGCGTGAATTTGTATTCTCTTAATGCATTACCTTCATACTCAGGACCAAGCGGCCACAAATTTTTTTTTTTGTTTTTTTTTCAAAATTTTCTCGTGAGCAATCACAAGTTTTTCTTTTTGCCTGTTTTTCAAAATTGACCCTTCAATTTTTCAAAACCCGGTTTGATAAAAATATAAAGAGTTAAATTAAGAGCAAACCCATGCGGAATAAACAAATTTGTTGCCTAACAATTCCGAAAACGTGGTCAAAACTGGTCATATGTATTTCATGAATAATTCATACACGTTGAAATACGTAACAATTACTCCTATTGAATAGTTAAGGGACCAACAAAGGGTCTTTTGTGAGCTAGAATAACACTTTTGGCCTTAAAAATTACTGCAAGAGCTTTTGAATTCAAACTTTTGCTCTAGTTTTCGGTTTTTGTATGATATTCTTAAATTTTTTAAATCTGATTTTTTCAGGTCTTGTAGTTATGTTTGTTATTGACTGACGCAACAGGGCTCTGGTTGCTTTTACTGACTATTCGGACCACTTTCAGTCAAACGACAAACATATTGATTGACCTATCATCCAGCGTTTACAACAATCAAACTTTAAGTTTGCGGCGGAACGAAAAATGCGAGTACAGTAGAAAACCAAAAAGAACAAGACTGCTCGTATCAGGGCGAAGCCCTGAATGTTCCGACTCCCTTTTAAGGTCTATGGAGCAGTAGTAAGAACATGAAAAAATAACAAAAAGTGGAAAATTTTTGTTCCGACTTTCGATACGAAAGTAACGGAAAATTTGTGCTCGGGGTGGGTTTTTTTAAAAAAGATAAAATTCGTCTTTTTAACTAGCCATTTTTGACGGACTTTTTTTTATCATTCGAAAGCTATTGTTGTCCTGAGCTCAAATTTGAAAAGATATTTTACCTGTGACCATTTTTCGTTAAAAAAAATGGGGGTTTGAAGATTGCCATTTTGGCCAATTGGGACATTTAACGTGATATATTTCGCGCTATTAACGCGTAAGCGGAGATTTAATCTTTCTTAGAAATCGTTTCAAGTTGGTGGTTGAAAGAAGCTTATTTCAAAATTGATATGTTACAATGAGCAAAATCTAATCTTTTTTTTTTTATATGGCGTGTGGTTGAATGATTTTCATAAAAATTTTCAAACTTTAGAAAAAAAAATTTCATTTTATTTTATTACATTAACTTTTTTAGCCTTTATAAGCCTCAAAAGGCAATCGGAACATTCAAGGCTTGTTTCAATTTAAGCTCAAGAGAACAATACCTTTTGATGATAAAATTTTTTTTGTCAAAAATGGCTAGTTAAAAA